CCATCTCGGCTCCGAGTGAGACGCTACAGACACTGCTGCTTCTCAGGGATTTTGCCCACTTCAGTGGAACCCGGAGGGAGGGAGTAAGGGGGCGGGGCCCCTTTGTACCCAGCCAATGACTCTCCATTGCGGTGGGAACAATTCCAAAACGGGGCGGCTCTCTTTGTAAACAGCCAAAAGCAGTGATGTCTATTACCTACCTATAGGAACCGTTCGTGGAGGCTGAGCATACTTTAAAGTAAGGCGGGGTCTATTTACAATTGGCCAATTCATGTGGTCAGGGAAGAGGAGAGTTTTTAAAACGCACCGAGTTTACTTTTACTTGCCCAGTGGCCACATTCAGAAAAGAGCATTATTTTTTCAGGGATTTGGCCTGTCCCAAATCAGCCTCTAGGGGGAGCACTCCAAAAGAGGGATTATTTTTTAGCAATTAGCCAATCCTAATGCTTCTTCCAACTTCTCAAGTGGGAGGGGGAACCATTTAAAAAGAGCCAATAGCAATCTCAGGTAATGGGAACATTTTTTTAAAAGGGTGGAGTTTACAATGTCTTGCCAGTAGCAATACCTCCTCGCTTCTCCATTCTCCTCCGTTCCTTCCAGAGGATGGTCCCTTTAAAAATCAATCCTCCACCCTCGCTGTAGTCCAAAGGAGCACGTTCCCTCATGCACTTTACCTAGAAAGTGTGGTTCCAATGTGAATTCTGATTGGTCCGTGCTATCGAGGCACTGCCCCGTGATTGGCTCCCGCTCCAGCCCTCCCCACGGCTCTTCCTCCTCCTTCTTGTCCAGTGAGGGCTCATCTGGCCAAGAGTTCGAATCCCGAGATCGATGTGGAGATGGGGTGCGGGCCTGAGGGATCCCAGAGCCAGGGCTGGGCTGTGGAGTCAAGACTTCGGGCGGCGAGGACTGAGCGAGTCCGAGTTGTAGGTCCAGTTCTGGTGCGTTAGAGAGAGAAGGCTGTGAGCTTTCACCATGGAGGTGCCCTAAGGAGAGACCACCCACCCCTGGTGGCTTTGGTCCCAGCACCTGGGACATCTCACCTTTCCCAGCCTCTCCAACCTCTGATCTGTCGGGCTCTTCGTCATCCAGCGGGGTGGAGCTACTGGTGGCAGAGTCCTCCCCGGACCCTGCTCCCGGGGCCGCCCAGCCCAGTTGGTCCAGTTGGAGCCCCAGGTCCTCCAGGGGGCGCTCAGCTGGAGGGGCAGAATCGGGGTGACCACGGCGCCCAGGCTCCGGGGATTGGCTCAGGCTGGGGATGCTCTCCAAGCTGTCGCCCAGGCCAGGTTGCGGGGGCGGCTCTCGCGGCTCCGAGACTGAGCGGCCCTGGGGCCGTGGGCGGCGAGCAGCTGAATCCCTGCGGGCCCCAGAGCCCAGCACGCCATCGAAGGCGATGTAGGAGAAGGTGAGCTCCCGGGGAGTGCCCCAGTCCTGCGATGTGGTCTCCTCCTCGTCTTCCTCTGAGAATTCCCGGGCTGTATGCAGCTCCCGAAAATCCGAGTCGTCGTTCCCTCCTGCCATGAGCAGAGGAGGCCATGAACTCTTCTGCCCAAGACCCTAGCCAGCTCCCCTTAACCCCTTTACCCAGCTGTGAGCCCCCTTCGAGCCCCACTCTCACACCCTCCCTCTCTGCTTACCTTCTGTGGAGTCAGGGGTGGAGGAAGCTGTAGACGGGGCTTCTTCTGAAAGAGGGAGAGAACCAAAGACTCTCAGGAGCTTCGATTTGCCCAAGTTACTGTGCTAGTCCTGGAAACCCGTCTGAATTCAGGAATCTCATAGTTTTAATTACAGGACCTCTAGAACATTCTGTATACAGACTGTAAAACCTTAGTATCCCTGCTGTCTGAAGCTCCGTCTTAGAAGTTCACATCCAGGAATCTCGATCTTAGTGTCTTTAAACTAGGGATTTTAGGAGGCTTCAATTAATTGATTCTTTCAACAACCATTAGTTGAGTGTTTAACACATGCCAGGCACTGTTTTAGATCCTGAGGATACAACTGTGAACAGAACAGACAAAATCCCTAGTCTCATAGAGCTTACACTCTATAGGGGAGATAGACAGTAACAGTTAAACTTATGATGTTGGGTGCTAAGTGTGTGGAGAAAAATTAAGGTAAGGGAAGAGAAAGTAAGGGGGTGCTATTTCAGACAGGTTGGTGAGGAAGACTTCCCGGATGCCATTTGAACAGGAACCTGAATGATGTGAGGAAACCATGCGGATATCTAGGGAAGAGTCTTCCAGGCAGAGGGAAAAGCCAGTGCAAAGGCCCTGAGGCAAGCACTAAGCTTTGCATATCTGAGGAACTGAGAAGTGTGCAGATGGGACTGGAACAGGGTGACTGATGGGGAGATGGAAGGGAGATGAGGGCAGAGAGGAAAGGCGGGGTGGGGTGGGGGTGGGGAGGTCACGTAGGGCCTTCCTTTGTAAGCCCAGGTAAGGACAGGATCTTAGAATGTTGGGATGATACTCTAAAATGTTGAAATAACAAATTCTCAGAATTTTGGCATGTCGACTCCCAAAACATGCAAGTGGCTAGGTCGGCGTTGCAATCCCCAGCTGTCAGAACCATAGGGGTGTGAGACAGAGCATGTTAGACAAGGACTGTTAGAGCCCTGGGCTCAGAAATCATAAGGCTCAGGCAAGGCTTTTTCAATTATGGAATTCAGCCTCTCAGAGTTAGCTTGGGGCTTTGCCTACAGGAGATGCTCAGTACCGTTTGGAGACTGAAATCAGATGCCCCCCCCGCCCCCACCTCGCTTCTTCAGCTAGGGAATAGGAGGCCAGGAATCAGAGACCCGGAGTGGTAAAACCTAAGGACCCAGGAGTCCTAGTCCCAACCCAGGGATGGCTGTATCCCGGGGACAGGGGATTGTACAATTCGGGCGAGGTCGGGGCTGCCTCTGAGTCTGGGGAGAAAACGGAGGTGGGATGCGAAGATGGATGATGCGGGGGAAGGGGGGAGTCAGACCCTCTTCTCCATCGTGGCTCTACCCCTCTATTCAAATCCCCTCACCGCTGGCTGTGGCCAGCACCAGGGCGAGGGGACAGCTCCCGGAGAGCTTCCTCATCCCCGGGCGGAGCCCCGCGGCACATTCAAGGGCCCAGAGCGCCCCCCGTCGGCTATCTCAGTGACCCCAGCCTCTGCCCGGTCTCACTCAGGTTGTCCGGGTCAAGTCGCCCCCATCGCCGCTCGAACACGGTGGGCAGGGAGAGCTTCCTTTGTCTCCTTCGCTTCCTCCCCATCTCGGCTCTCCCGCGGCCCAGGTCGGAGGGGAAACCGGGGAGGAGCCCACCCGGGCCTCTGGGCCCCACACCAGGCCTGAGCCTCCCCCTACTCACTGCAGTGGGCGAAGACCGGCAGGACCTGCCCCATGGCCCCCCTCGGGCCTGCATCGGGACCCCCGCCCACTCCGGCCACGCCGCCCTGGGCCTGGGGCCGCGAGCGCTCATCTCCGCCGCGCCCAGGACGCCGCCGCCGCCATCCTCGCTGCCTCCTCCTCCCGGGCCGCTCCAGCAGCAGCAGCAGCAGCAGCATCTCGTTGCCCCCGAGGGCCAGGCCGGACCCGCGCAGACCTGTGGGCCCCGGGCTGCCCACCTCCGGTGGAGGCCGCGCCTCTGGCAGGAAGGCCCGCCGCCGCCGCCGCCGCCGCCGCCGCCCTCGGTTCGGCTCAGCGGTGGCGGGCGGGGCCGCTGTGGGGCGACTGCAGCGCGGGGCCCGGGGGCGGGGCCAGAGAACGGGGGGCGGAACCTGAGGGAGGGCGAGGGGGAGGGGAAACACCCGGGAGGATGGAGGTGGGCGTGGCCTTCCAATAGAGGGGCGGAGCTAGGACCGTAGGCTACCTGTCGAGAAGGCCTGGAAGGCGGTCTGAAGGGCCGGGTCTAGACAAAAGAGGGCGGGGCCTTTAGGGGGAGAGAAGCGGGACCGAGGGTAGCGTGAGGGGCTCCGGGAATAATGATGAAGGAGCCTAGGCGGAGAGGATGGGGGCGTGGATCTCAGAGTGGGTTGGGGTGGAGCTAGAGGTGGCATTGAGGGGAGTATAAAGATTTTACCGCTGAGAGGTAGAGGTATAAGCCTAGATTCTCAATGGGAGTGGGAAAGGGGGCGGGGAGAAACTACTCGGAAAGTTTTGAGACAAGGGGAGGAGCTCAGACTTGCGGAGGTTTAAGCCAATTTAGAATTGTTCAGAGTTGGGTGGGGTCAGTCCGAGACTGAGGAGCTAGAGGCGTGGCCTAAAGGGAATAGGGCAGAACAATCAAGGGTGGTGGTGCTGCCCAGAAGGTGAGCTGAACCTGGAGTGAGGCGAGGAGAGGGGAGGGGTCGAAGTAACAAAATTAAGCATTTAAAGGTTTTGAAACCCGGATGGGACCACCGATGTGGGCAGAGATTGAACAGAGTCGGGCTGGGCAGCCGAAGCCGAGTGTTGTGTTGAGAATACGGATTCTAGATTGTTTCCCTGTAACACTGTTTACTTCTGTGACTCAGTTTCCTCTTCGGTAAATTGGAGATTATGATGTATAACAGTGTGTAGCTCATGGTAAATGCTAGTTTGGTACTATTTTTTTTTCCCTGACCCAAACCCCAATCCTCACTTTGAAAGTGCGGAAGAGAGGAGAACGAAGAGTTCAATCCCTTCTAGTGATTCGACTTGAGTGCAAGTCAAGGGCATAGGAAGGAGATTTAGGTGGTTTAAAATTTCACAGTGCAGAGGATTAGTGGAGGTGACAGGGGCGGGGTGGCGGGGCTGTTAGCAGGTGCAGAGGGTGGAGCTTTCCTGATCCCCAGGCTGAAGGATGGCGGCCCTTGCCCGCCTGCTGGAACGTCTCCTCTGGCCAGCTCGCAAGCAAGAGAGGGTGGAGGAGGCAGAGGAGAGGCGTACCTCTCCCAACGGACCTCAGTCCCTCCTGGACGCGCCGCGATGCGCCCAGCGGCCGCACGGGGGTGCGGCGGCGTCTTGGGGCTTGAGCTTCGGGGCGAGCGCAGTGCAAGGGTGGCGCGCACACATGGAGGACGCGCATTGCGCTTGGCTTGAGCTACCCGGGCTGGGCCCAGGCTGGGCTTTCTTCGCGATCCTCGACGGCCACGGTGGGACGAGAGCCGCCCTCTTCGGTGCGCGCCACCTGCCGGGCTACGTGCTCGAGGCGCTGGGCCCAGCGCCCGGCGAGCCCGAGGGCGTGTGCGAAGCACTGCGCCGCGCCTTTCTGAGCGCAGACGCACGCCTGCGCGCGCTCTGGCCCCGCGGCGAGCCGGGAGGCTCCACCGCCTTGGCGTTGCTGGTTTCCCCGCACTTTCTGTACCTGGCGCACTGCGGTGACTCCCGCGCGGTGCTGAGTCGCGCCGGCGCCGTGGCCTTCATCACCGAAGACCATCGGCCCCTCCATCCCCGGGAACGCGAGCGCATCCATGACGCGGGCGGCACCATCAGCCGCCGGCGCCTCGAGGGCTCTCTGGCAGTGTCCCGAGCACTGGGAGACTTTGCCTACAAAGAGGCTCCGGGAAGGCCCCCTGAACTGCAGCTCGTTTCCGCGGAGCCTGAAGTGACCGCCCTGGCACGCCGAGCAGAGGACGAATTCATGCTCCTGGCCTCTGATGGCGTGTGGGACGCGATGTCTGGCTCTGCCCTGGCGGCACTGGTGGCATCTCGCCTCTGCTTGGGCTTGGCCCCACAGCTTCTCTGCGCGCAGCTGTTGGACACGTGTCTTTGCAAGGTCCTGGGGGCGGGGCTTAAGATCTTAGAGGGAAGAACCTAAGGGATTTAGTGGGGAGGAGCTTTGATGCAGAGGCGAGAGTAAAACTAGAAAAGGAGAGGTGGGACTCCAAATAGGGGACGGGGCCTGCTGGAACGGGGCAGGGCCAAAATGTGCAGGGAGCGGAGACTGAGGGAACCCTTGAGACAAGACGGAAGAGTTGTAGTTCTCGATAGATAAGTGGGAGGGATTTACAAGAAAGGGCGTGGTCTTTTGGAATGGGACAGCCCTTAGACCTAAAGATGGGTCCTGAGGTGTGACTAGTGGCAGAAGGAAAAACAGCTCAACAGCAGAGTGGGAGGAGCTTTGGAAAAGGGAAGGGGCTCTGTTTAGTAGGGTGGTGCTAGGACAGTGAGAGGGCGTGGTCTAAGGAATTGGTCTTTGTGAGAGGCCTGGTTTAGACTGACGGAAGGGTGGGACTTTAGAGATATTGGCATAACCAGATTGGGAAGGGGGCACTAGAGCAAGGGGTGTGTTGGGAAACTCTGTTTCCTAGGGCATGGAGCCCTGTGCTGGGGCTTTCAACCGTGTTCCACCAGGCTCTCTTTTCTCTGCCTTCTCCAGGGAAGCCTGGACAACATGACCTGCATCCTGGTCTGCTTCCCGGGGGCCCCCAGGCCTTGTGAGGAGGCCATCAGGAAGGAGCTAGTGCTGGATGCAGCCCTGGGACGCAGGGTTGCAGGTGAGCAGGTGCCAGGAGCCCGGCGGAAGGGGTGGTCAGCAAGCAGGGTAACTCTCACAATCCTTGCCTCCTTTTCAGAGCTGTGTGCCTTTGGCCAGGAGCCCCCCAGCTTGAACACAGTTTTCAGGACTCTGGCCTCTGAGGACATCCCGGATTTACCTCCTGGGGGAGGGCTCCACTGCAAGTGAGTTGGGGTGGGGTGGGGTGGAATGGGAGGATGGGTGGGAGGAGGAGGGTCCCCTCCTGAGGGCCTTCCTTTGCTCTCCAGGGCCACAGTCATCGCTGACGCTTACTCTCAGTTCTGCCAGGCCTCAGGAGAGCGCTGGGTGGTAAGGAACCCATGTTCTTGAATGTTTCTCTTAGAAGCATGTAATTCAGCCCCCCCCCCATGCCACCTCTTTAAGTGATGGGGAAATTGAGGCCAGAGGGGACAGGAACTTACCTGATATAGTAATAAATTCTCACACCTGGTCCTGTGCTAGGCATGATGGTTGGTGGCGGGGGGAGCGGGTGGTGGTGATGCAGAAGCAGAGAAGGGATTGTGCTTCTCCTCCAAGAAATGTGCCCCCTACATTGCTCTGTGAAGCCCCACCATCCCAAGCACCACCCCTTCCATCCAGAAATAAGGCAGAAAAATTCAAGGGATGTTGATGACCAATACCAAGGGCTAACTGCACTGCAGAGACCACCAGGACATCTCTGAGGGTGGCCCAGGTCTTAGAGGAGAGAGGTTGTGAATTAGGCCCAGATAGCCTATTTAGAGATGTCCAAGGAGGTGGTGAGTGGGAGCCACATAAACTAAGGTATGGGGTGGGGGACTGGGAGGAAATGTGAGGGAGGAAACCAGAAGGCCTTTGCAGGGCAGAGAAGGGAGTTGGGTTATTACCAATCGGGGGGTGGGGTGGGGGTGGGGGTGGTTGTTGCTGGTTTCTCAGCAGCAGAAAGGAGGTCTCTGTCAGGATTCTTTTGAGTTGTGAGTGACAGAAACCCCATTCAACCTGGGAAGACAAACCAGGAGTTTACTGGGCCATGTAATTAAAGAGTACAGGGACTTAAGGCATGACTGCATCCAGTTGTCAGATGATGTCATCAGGAACTGTCTTAGTTTTCCTTTCTCTGAGTTGGCTTCATTCCCAGGCAGGGTCTCCACATGAGGTAGCAGAGAGTTGCTGCTCCATGATCACATCCCAGAAGCCTAACATCCCCAGTGGGGAGAGCATGCCAGTTTCCCAGTAGTTGCAGCCGTGCTTCCAGAGCTGGTTCTCATTGGCCACACTGGGTCATGTGCCTGACCAGTCTCTGTGTCTCTGATTGGCCAGGCTGGGGTCACAGGCCCATCCTGTAGCGCTTGGCCTTGGGGTCCACTCCACCCAAAACTGAGGAAATGAGAGATAGGGAATGCTGGTTCCTCAAAGGAAAAATAGGAGTGGTGCTTCCAGAATACAGGGGAGTAAATGCTGAGGGGCAAGAAGGGGTTCCTATTCACCATCTTCCACATTTTGTGTTACAGATGGGGCAGAATGGGGCTGAGAAGCCCACTTGCACCCATTCAAGCTCAGCCTTGGACTTGGAGGCCTGACAGCTGTCATCCTTTAGGGACCCTCTGCCCAGCTGGGGCCTCAATGGAATTAAGGAAGAAAACTCCCCTTTCCCAGCTATGCAGACTAGCGGAAGGAAGAGAAACCAGTGGAGGAACCCCAGAATGTTTATTTCCCTTTCTCCTACTTTCCTCTCATAAGACAGAAAGTCTTATGAGAGAGGGGAAATTCCGCTCACCAGCTAGACCCCCCCAAAAAAAAAACCCAAAAAAAACCCAAACCTCAAAACCCCAAAACCAAATGTCTTTGAAATATTTAGAGCTGAATGGACCCTGAAAATCACCCAGTTCAATAACCTTCTCTTCCCTTCCTATTTTTCATCTGTTTGGCGGGGAGCTAGGGGAAAGTTTTTACAATTAAATTTTAATTACATAATTCAAAATACATTTTTCTTGTGGAAAAAACCCCGCACACATTATTTGCCCAGTCATTTGGCAAATACGTATGGGGCATCTGCTATGTGCAAGGCCCTGCTCAGGCCATCAACCTGGCAGACCCACTGAGGTTCCTGTCCCCGGAACCTCCTAGTGTGTGGGGTGGAGTGCGGGGGGACAGCAAACAAGGGAACCCATAAATAAGGTCATCTCAGACACTGACAAGTGTCTCAAGGAAAATGAAACTGGGGGATGTGATAAGAAAATGTCTTAGGGGAGCTATGCTGGTTCTTTTACATTGTTATTTTTTGAATGGGTGGTAAGTTCACTTGGTTTGAAATTCAAAGGGCACAAAACGGTATACAGTGAAGTCTCTCTCCATCCCTCACCCACTGCCACTCCATTTTCCACCTGGGGATGGTTGCTTTAGACGGGGGTCAGTGAAGACCTCTGAGGAGGGGACAACTGAGCAGGAACCTAACAAGAGAACTCGCCAGCCATGCAAAAACCCCAGGGAAGAGGGTCCCAAGGCAGAAGGAACAGCCAGTGTGAAAGCCTAGAGGCAGGATTGAACTCAGCATTTTCAAGATGAGGCTTGAGACTATGACCATCAGACTCTCCACGATCCCATTCTGTGTCCTACTGGTAACCCCTGCAGTGAGTTTGGAGTGGATTTTTCAAGACCTTTTATTGGGCATGTACACACATGTATATGGTACCTTAGGTGTCTCCTTGATTTTTTTCATACCCTATGTATCATTTGGCAATTTGTTTCCTTTGACTCAATAATGTGTTGGAAACTTCTCTCATGCCACTTACACATCTCACTCTTTTTAGCTGCTACTCAGCACTTCAGACAAGAGACGTGCAATGGTTTCACCATCCATCATCCTCTTGATGGGTATTTAGGTTGTTTCCAATTTCTTGCCCTTATGTCACTGCTGCCGTAAAGATCCTTGGTCAGGCTCCTGTGTACATATGCAAGAGTTTCTCTAGTGCAGGGGTCTTGCTACCTGTTTCGTACAGCACTTGAGCTAAGAATGGTTTTTACATTTTCAAAGGGCTGTAAAAAAATATGCAAAAGAGGCCCTATGTTTAATATGCCTAAAATATTTACTATTTGGACATTTATAGAAAAAGTTTGCTGACTATAGTGCAGGTGGCACACAGAAGCACCACCCCTCCCATTTCACAGATGGGAAAGCTGAGACCCAGAGAGGAGAAAGGACTTGCCCATGGTCACACAGAACTGGGTTTTCATGCAGTTGGATAAATATAAATGTGTGTTGAGCTGCTGTTCTGGGCCTGGCTGGGTTAGTAAGGCTCAGAAATTGATTAAGTCTACCTCTGTCCCCAAAGAACTCAGTCTGAGGAGACACACAGAGAAACAATTATAACCTACCATAGATCAGGGTTCAAGGTTTCCCAGAGTGGGGTGGATAAGGGGAGAGGATTACTCCATTCTTCAGAGAAGAATTAATGTCAGAGCATGGCCTAGAAGAATGAGGTGAAGGAGATCAGGACGGCACCCAGCAGCAGATTCCTCTTGGAAAAAAAAAGGCTGAGAATCTTGATTCCCTCACCTAGTCAGCTGGGCCCCAAGAGTTGTTTTACACTCATACCTTGCACCACTGGAGTCCTGGTGGCTCAGGCAAGAGGGCTATACCCCAGATTTACTTCCTGCCTCCAGGCCTCAATTTATCCATTTCTAAATGTCGAACTGATTCCCCAGTTTCCTGCCCCAGCCCAGGGCACCTTACCCAGGCCAGGTGGCGCTCTACGAGAGGGGCGTGAGCATATTGGTGACGTCACGTAAGGCGGAGTCTGCAGGCCCAGTGGCGGAAGCCTGGGAGGGTGTTGGGACTCAGCCCGAATCTGGCGCGTGGGGGGAGGGGGCTCCCGGGAGCCGGCAGAGGGAGGGTCCCCGACCTCCGTTCCCTCGGATTGCTGGATGATCCCACCATCCTCCGCAGACGAAACTGAGTCACGGCGGGGCGTGCGTGGAGAGGGGACAAGGGGCCTTATTCACACAGGGACTGGGAGTCCCATTCCCACCGAGGTCCAGCGCCGCACCCCCCCC